TCATGAAAGGAATAGTTTTCTTTTCCAAATTGGCATATAAAAAAAGAATTTTAAATGAAACAATACATGAAGAGTATAAAGAAAACCTATATTTCGTTGAAGAGTTATTTGCAATTTGATAGTTCGAAACGATTTATGTGCATACCTTAGCAATCAATTGCAAAGCCTTTATTAGTTTTCACACTCTGTAATTGGTTCTTATATTTGGTCGTCATATTCCGACAAAACTCTGCAACAATTTCGGAAAACGTCTCTTTGACTAAAGTCTCCAGATCCTTCATCCTAAAAGTTTTCATGGTCATTACTTATCTATCACTACAAATTCTCAATTGAGTTAAGATCTGGGGACTGGCTTGGCCACTCTAAAATATTGATATTATTATAATTTCTTAGCAAACTTTTGTGTCTTATGTCATTGTCTTATTGGAAGTTTTTTTTTTTTTTTTTTTTTTTTTTGTAATAAAAATTTAAAGAAAATTTTACCTTTTTAGAAAATCAAATAATCAGTGGTGATACTTTTCAAAATCACTCTAACATTATTTGAAAAAATGTAGTTTGTTAAAAATTCATGATTAAACAATTCAGAAAATATATTAACTTTAATATTCTAGTTATCATATGCAAAAAAAAATGATTATGCATTCTATTTTTTTTTTTTTTTTTTTTTTTAAATTGATATGCAAGTAGTAACTTCTGGAGCCACTGCTGTTCGTCTTAAGGTCCTCGACAAAATCCAGATACAAATATACAATGTTGTTAGCCCTGATCTGGCATTTCGTTTACAGTCGCTCTCTCACAGACGTTTCGTCACCTCCCTCTGTCTTTTCTATAATTACTTTCACGGTAACTGCTCTGACGAGATATTTTCGCTAGTTCCAAAATTGCATGAATTTAAACGTGCCACTAGGTCGGTATCTGGGACCCACCCTTTCACTGTCGAAAAGGTTAAATGTAGCCGTCTCTTCTACTCCAATAGCTTCATGTCTCGCACTTCCCGTCTGTGGAACTCCCTTCCTCTTACTTGCTTCCCTGATAGCTATAATCTCCAACTATTCAAATGTAATGTCAATCGACATCTCCAGATGCTTTGATCTATTCCCGCTCTTCTCTTCATACTTTCCTCTCTTACGCCTCTTTACTCTTGCTCCCACTCTCTGTAACACCTTGCACGCTAGTGGCACTCCCGCCTTGTTTGGGGTGAAAAGTTTTTTAAAAAAGTACATCACTGATATAATGGAATATGCGTACACCTGTGTTCCCTCTCACTGGAGTATGATTGGCTGGTGTCCGTCATAAATACCGACGGACGTGTAGGAGAGTCAAGAGCCTTAGTCTGAGAGCTAAGTCTATAACGACGCCCATTGGACTATGCCATTGATCTACACTTCTTACCTGCGACTCCGACGCGTACCAGTCGATTACTGCTACCGTATTCTACTTGGTTATAGTAGCCAAAACCACTTAGCTACTTCGTTCAAATATATCCCTTTCGGAACATATCAATCAGTAACCCAGGAAGGCAGTTCATCTAGTGAGAGGAAAACCTTGATTTTAAACCCCCACTGCCTTATCTAAACACAGAAAAGACTACAGACAGAAAATCCGGAGTGGAGCCTCGAAGTTCAGTTGGCTGTCAACATTTTATCGAAACTCCTGCAAGCAAACCGTCCTCAAATGTAATATCCTGTATTCCCTTCGATCTTGTTGGTATGGCCGAAAGGGTGGGGAACATGTAGTTTGGACAGCGCACAGGCTTGCACCCTGGAGAGATCACTCCAGTTTCACCACGAAAGGACTGAATTTTGACAAAACAAGGTGCTACCTTTATTTCTCGAGGTAAGCAGATTCCTGCTACTAATAAACCAATAGAAACGGTGATAAATTTGAAACATCAAAATGATGATTGCCTGGTTAAAATGTAATTTTCAAAGAAAATTAATTTTTTCAATGATTTTGCCGCATCAACATTATTTCCCAAAAGAAAAAAAAGAGCCGGAAGTTACAAATTCAAATAATTATCATCTTTAAAAAGAGAGAGAGAGAGAGAGAAAATTAAAATACTTAATATTTCTACATTAATTTCATACTGAATTAAAACAACAGCACGTCGGTTGAATTTACCTTATCTTCTTTTTTGACGTTCGTATCAAAGCAAGATTTTTTTTTGTTTTATATACCTGTTTACTTTAATCTGGCCACTGACGAATATTAGAAGCATCAGTGAAATAGATGATTCGCACTACTTCACTTAAAGAAATGAACTCAGCTAGCTGACGTAATAGGTAAAATGGTATTGTAGCTGTGTCAGTCATAATATAGGATTTAACATCGTTTGATCGCAGAATGATTGTTGGCAACGGCTCCATGTTTTTCTCGGGTATCAAGGATATAGCAAAAATATGTGAATTCCACGCAGGTATCAGAGGCACGTGAAAACTGCGGGCGTGCAGAGGCGTTGTAAGAACGGACATCGGGCGACTGATAAAGGTGATAACCATTCAATGACCCATATCACAATTAAGTGCAGCTGCGCAGTATGCAGTGTACATTATACAGTCAACCAAATGTACAACGTATACTGCATACCATAGGAATTTGCAGTCGTTGACCACTACGGCATCAGTTACTAGGCCAGAAGAGATTACCATTGAATCCCGTAAAACTGGTGCCGTAGGGACTGGTCAGATGTCACGTTTCATTCTCTTTTGCGCAGACGGTCGAATTCATCTGAAAGAAACCACGTTGTGTAGACTGGTTGTGGATCTGTGATCTTCTTGTACGTCATTTTAGCTCTTTTTTTTGCCATGTTTCCATGTAATACTGTTTTTTGTTGTTGTTGTTTTTTTGTTTGTTTTTTTTGGGGGGGGACAGAATAACGAAAAATCCTATCCTGCACTTGTGACGAAAAATTGTATCGTGTCACTTGTGACAATAAATTCGGAGACACTAGCCTTACTCCCGAGTTCTCCAGATTTAAGCTCCATTAAGCATATATGGAACATGTAGATACCACTAAAGTCACTGCAGCCACTACCAACACAACACTGTCATGAAAACAACTCTGACACACTCTTGTATAGATATTTCTACACAATGATCCCAGTTACTTATAGATTATATGCCAATTCGTGTAGCCAACGTTATTTGAGTGAACAGAGGAGGTTAACGTCATCAGATAACTGTTTATAAATTGTCACGCTTCAGTTGAGATATATATATATATATATATATATATATATATATATATATATATATATAACCGATCCATTAAGGAACAATTTTAATTATTGGTATGCATCTTTTGGAAATTGGAGACAGAAGTCATAAGAGAAAACCATTTTTGCTTCTTTTTTTAAAATTAAAACAACTGTAATGACTAATTTTGCTCATTTCATAAATAAACGGTTTCTTCGGCAACATTGAAAAAATATGCAAGATTCAAATTTAAAACTTTGATTGAGCAGGCATTGAAGTGTAGGGAAAGTCTTTTTTTTTTAAGCTCATACTCGAAATTTATTGACTAAATATGACCCAACGTCCTTCACCGGATCGATCTATGATTTTTTTTTTTTTAAATATTCGCCTCGATTATTTCAGAGGAAAATCAGTCATCGTTGAACGACTTGTTCAAAGATCATTCCGATGGGTCTTTTTAATATTCACTCGAAAACCTATTTGATTTTTAAAGTCTTTAATAGTTTTATGCTTAAAGATAGAGAATGATTGAACCTAATCGAAGACTGAAATTTTTGCTGATTTTCTCTCACTGCCAGAGGTCAGCGATCGAGATCAGGTAATATCAAACTTTTAAAGAGTGATTTTCAAGACAAATGCACTTGATCTCCACTTCAAATATTGACACAGCACAATCTTGTCCAGTCTACGATAATATTAATGAAAATAAAGAAAAATATTCACTTTATACTCTTTCTTATTTCTCTATTCTCTCACATTTTCTTCCAACCACTCTTACATTTTTTTTTCCCATTTCTCTCGCTCTCTCACTCTTTTTCTTTTCCATTCACATTCTCTCGCGCTCTTTCTCTTTTCCGTTCTCTCTTTCACGAAGTTTCTCTTTTCCTTTCATGCTCTTTCCCCTTTCCTTTCTCTTTCTATCATGCTTTATCTCTTTTTGCTTTTTTCTCTCATACACATTTTTCTCTTTTTCCTTTCTTTTTTCGTCATGCCCTTTCTCTTTTTCCTTTCTTTTTCCACAATGATCTCTCTTTCTCTCATGCACTTTCTCTTTTTCCTTTCTTTTTCCGCCATTACCTTTCTCTTTTTCCTTTCTTTTTCCATCATGCCCTTTCCCTTTTTCCTTTCTTTTTCCATCATGCCCTTTCCCTTTTTCCTTTCTTTTTCCATCATGCCCTTTCCCTTTTCCTTTCTTTTTCCATCATGCCCTTTCCCTTTTTCCTTTCTTTTTCCATCATGCCCTTTCCCTTTTTCCTTTCTTTTTCCATCATGCCCTTTCACTTTTTCCTTTCTTTTTCCATCATGCCCTTTCCCTTTTTCCTTTCTTTTCCATCATGATCTCTCCTTTCTCTCATTTTCCATCATTCTCTTTTCCTTTTTTTCCGTCATCTTTCTCTTTTCCTTTCTTTTTCCATCATGCCCTTTCCTTTTTCCTTTCTTTTCCATCATGCCCTTTCCCTTTTTCCTTTCTTTTTCCATCATGCCCTTTCCCTTTTTCCTTTCTTTTTCCATCATGCCCTTTCACTTTTTCCTTTCTCTTTCCATCATGCCCTTTCTCTTTTTCCTTTCTTTTTCCATCATGATCTCTCTCTTTTTCCTTTCTTTTTCCATCATGATATCTCTCTTTCTATCATGCTCTTTCTCATTTCTTTATCGATCATGCTCTTTCTCTTTTTGCTTTCTTTTCCTATCATGCCCTTTCTCTTTTTCCTTTCTTTTTCCATCATGATCTCTCTCTTTTTCCTTTCTTTTTCCATCATGATCTCTCTCTTTCTATCATGCTCTTTCTCATTTCTTTATCGATCATGCTCTTTCTCTTTTTCCTTTCTTTATCCATCATGCTCTTTCTCTTTTTCCTTTCTTTATCCATCATGCTCTTTCTCTTTTTCCATATATTTCTCACACTTTCACTCCATCCTCTTCACGCTCTGGTTTCTATTTTACTCTGTGTTATTCTTCTCCTCGTTCTATGTCTTTATCTTTTTCTTAATTTGTCCTTCAATCTATTTCGTCTTTATGACCCCTTACTCTCATATTCTGTTCTCCTTCCCTTTGTCATTAGTTCTGCTCTCTTACTTTCACGCTCTGGTCTTTCCTTTTCTCTCTCTAGTATTCCTTCCATATGCATACATCCAGCAGATGCCTCATGTCACTGGACTTCCTTCTCATTTTCTCCCTCTTTCTTAAATTTCCTCTTCTTACTTCTCTCTTTTTCTTTCTACTATTTTCTCTCCCTTTCTCTCTTCACTGTCCCTTATATTCATGCGTCCAAAACTTATACCTTTTCTTTTCATTCTCGCCGGTACACTGCCTCTTTCTCTCTTTTTCACTCTTTCCTTTTTCCTCTCTCAGGTTCTTTCCTAATAATTTTTTCTTTCTCTCTCTCCCTCTTTTGCTTTCTCTTTTTTCCTTATTCCATACATGTATGAATCCATCAGCAAACTTACACTAATATCCTTCTTTCTCGCATTCTCTCTCTTTCTAATTCATTTACTTTCTCTTTCTCTCACATTCTCTCCTTATACTTCTTTCTTTTGCATTCTACTATATGCTTTCACTTTCTTTTTCTCTCATTTTTTTACTCTCTTTCTTACACTCTCTCTCTTCCTACTCTTTTGCTTTCTATTATCTTCTTTCACTTTCTTTTTCTCTCATTCGTTTACTTTTCCTTTCTTAAATTATCTCCTTATATCTCTCTTTTACTTTCTGCCGTCTTTTTCTCTTTCTTTCATTTTTTTCTTCTCTGTGCCATGTATATATGCATTCAACAGAAAGGCCAATATTCTTATTTCTCTCTCCCTCACTTCTCTCTTGTACTTCTCCTTCCCGCTTTCTCTCTATTTCTTTCTGCCACTCATTCTCTATGCACTGCACATGCACGCATCCAATAGAAAAGTTGTATCTTTATACTGTGTATTCTGATGTGTAATGATTAAAATTGATTTCTCCGTTTGGACGGCTCTTCTTTCTTTATGTGAATAAACCGAACGGACAGATCGATATCCATTCACGATGTCTCGCCCAAAAGATGCAGAACACATGCGCCCACAGAATGCCTGAGTATGCCTAGCACGTGTACATACACGCACCTACGTACTGGCATTAATGCTCAAAAGCTAAATATTCAAAGACAATACAATGCATACACATACACACACACACACACTGATGCAAAAACCAACAACAATACTACCAGCGACGATTTAATCAGATTATGATCCTGCGATCAGGTATGGTTTCGGGTCCGAAGCATCTTCTAACTCAAAGCACCCCAGCAGTACCTTACGATACGACCATACTTTTTTGTCTTCCGTCATCCGCCTGATTCCATTATCGAAAAGTTGAGGGAAATTTTTTGGTACTTCAATTTGTAAATCAACACACACACACACACACACGCACACACACACGCACGCACGCACGCGCTGTGTGTGTGTGTGTATGTCTATTTTTCTGAGATGATGTATTATGTAGACTATTTACATTGTTCGGACTATCGTCCTCATTTTGTTGCCATATTTATCACAACGTTTCGGCCGTTATACGCTCACTGCCTTAACCAGGTTCAATACCTGGTTAAGGCAGTGGAGAACTTGGAGAGGGGAATTAACAGGATATAACTGATAACTGACATCCGTGAGACATGACACGTGGAACTAGAACAGTCTACCCCAGTGAGCGAAATAAAGGATTAAGTTCGACATTCCAGCCACCTGAACAAGGCTGGCGCGTACAACAGCCAAAATGTTGTGATAAATATGGCAACAAGGATGAGGACGATAGTCCGAACAATGTAAATAGTATATATATATATATATATATATATATATATACTGCAAACCCAAACGTCATTTTTTGGGTGCCCATGTTTGAGTAGAGGCTCTGTTTTTGTAAACAGTCTGAATTACGTCTACCGGCCTACGCATTAAAGAGACTTAGTAAAGAAAATGTACTCTCCGTCAAGGTTCAAACCTGAGTCCCCCATTGTATGGATAAACCACCGGTTGATTCGTCGTGCTTTAGACGGTGGCTTCTTCTACAAAGGGAGACGTAGGTTCGAAGCCTACCGGAGAGCATATCTACTTTATTAAATCAATCGAACGCGTAAGGCTGGTTGACGTAATTCACACTGTTTAAAAAAAAACACGCGCACACACACACACACACAAAAAACAGGGCAGCTACTCAAACATTGGTATCCACAGAAATAACGTTTGGTGAAGTAGTAAATAATGATGGATAAAAGATGAATTTATTCCTTGGAAAATATGAATCTAACAACCAGCAATATTGTGTCCAAGGACAGCGATCTAAAAACGTAACTCTGCGTTTTACGCCATTCGCGATCGGCAGACGATTAAAATTTCGTCTGAAGATCTTGAATAGCGTCTTCCTGGGTATTGTTATTGTTCTGTCTCTGTCTTCGTTTAGCTTCCTATTTTAGTTTTCTTAATTCTATCGACATGGAGCACAGTAAAGTTTTTGTTTTTGTTTAGATTGATGTCTGTGTCTGTGTGTGTGTGTTTTATTTTTATTTTTGCGGACTTTTGTAAGGTTTGTTGAATTTAGTACTTTTCCTTCCTTCATTACTTAATTTATTCTGGGTTATATATATATATATATATATATATATATATATATATATATATATTTATATTGATCTGGGCAGCAATCCCATTTTTATACAAGTTTCGTTAAAGACGATTGACAAGGTACTGCGGTTAAGCTTTTTATTTAATTTTTCTTGTGTTCGTATAACTATTTTTCTTTTCTGGACACAAAGTGTGTAAAAACAGTCCAAAAGTTCTGCATGTCCGCGCGATTTCGTCTATTCTTTTAGCCATTATCAAAGACGATTTTTATTTTTTTCATTTTTATTTTTAACAGAATATTTAGGTTTTGTGTATGTGTCTGGAGTTATAGGAATGTTTTCTTTTCCAAACACGGTTTGCACATTTTATTGAGTATTGACTTTTCCTTTTTTATTATTAGGGCTTCCATTATTTTTTTTAATCTTTTTTTACGTGTGGATGAGGCTATTATACATGTATTTTCTACTAGTATGTTCCGGATAATGGCTAAAAGAATAGGCGAAAGCGTTCGAATATGCTAAACTTTTAGACAGTTTTTACGCACTTTGTGTCCAGAAAAGAAAACACCTGTACAAACACAAGAAACATTAAATAAAATGATTAATCACACTACCGTGTCAGTCGTCTTCAAACTTTATATACACACACACACACACACACACACACACACACACATATGCGTGAGTGTGGGCACCTAGAGGTTGCGTAATGGTTAACAAGCTTGTTTTGCTAGAACAATTGCGACTGAGTTCGATCCTCGATGAGTGCCTTTCGGCCTTGTGCCACATGTGAGCCAGGCTTGGAAAATAACTATATGTGTGTGTGTGTGTGTATCAGGAAAGCAAGCGTCGTATAATTGCTGGAACTTTTGTGATTTTCTTATTATGCATAAATAAGCCTATTGATAACATATTATATTTATAAAACTTATAGATAATATCAAAATAAATTATTCCTCGGCCATCTTGGCCGAATTCTCCTTGGTAGAAGAATTTAAAATAATGATGTTGCAATGGGGATTCTTTTTTATCTCCTGCTCAAAACGCCTCACGATCATATCCACACACGCACGCGCGCGCGCGCACACACACACACATATATATATATAGGTTTATCAAAGCTTGTAAATTTGAGAATGTTCATGAATTTACAAGCGTTGATAAACCAATGACATCCTCGCCTCTGTGTATATAAACGTGCAACATAGCAAATGCTACATTGCTTTGGTAAAGTCCCTCAGAGGACGAAACGCGTCGGCTAAGTATAGTTTTTCCTGTTGTCTCTTTTTATTCATTTTGTCTCTTCTACAGATATACTACATCTGAGAATATTTATACACACACACACACACACACACACACACACATATATATTGATTAATTGTCCACTTCCCCTAGGGGTCATCCGTGTACCCGTTCATTCCCATAGGGCTTCAGCAGTATTCCAATCTCTTTCAACATAAGCACTGTTTTAATTACGACTCTTCACCAAAGGCCCTCAAAGGAAAGTAAGAAATAAACCACCCTTTTAACTCACAAGCCGGCAAAAATGGCATGTACATATTTGTATTATATTCTGAATTTATTACGGTTTATATCTTTGTGTGTAATGTTCTTATTATGTACTGTATGCTTGTTCTTTTATCCAATTCTACGCAGTTGAAAGATTGTAAATATATCAGCTTATAATAAAATATCAGTAAAATAAACTTGGCCTTCATTTTGTGGCTATGGGAGGTATGCAAACACATTTATATATGTATAAACAATGATACATAGTTGACAGTATAAATGTACATTCAAATTAGTTGTCTAATACTTTTAAATTGACAAACGCATAAGTATTCATATGCACAAACAATTTGCGCAAACGCCTATAATAATGTGTGCCTTCATGTATTCGATTCTCTGCATTTATGCCAACATGTGTATCCGTATTTAGTCTATTCCTCTGTGTCCACAGTATAAATGAGCACTTTGAAATTTAATTGATTGCTTCCAGTTGGTTTAAGCGTTCGCTGTCAAGCAATAAAAATCTCCTGGCCGGACTTTCTGACATTCATTTATCTTGAAGAAGTTGCGATGGAAGGCTGTGGCCGCACGCGAGAGTAGATGGACAAATCGTCACGACCTCTCAGGATCACTTCTTGATCGTCCATACAGAAAACTATTGGCATTTGCCGGGTGGGGGGAATCGTTATATTGAGCTGCCTATTAAGAGAAAAACCGGCAGTGGATTTGCAAAGAGAATCAAGCAAATAAGAAATGAATTTGTCTTTCCTAAAAACGGAATCATTATTTCGACCACTTAAATGCATAAATATACGCTCATCTCTCTCTCTCTCTCTATATATATATATATATTATATATATATATAGACACAGATTCTGGCGAGAATATATCTTACATATTTTAAGTTTACTATCCATCCTTGCTTTAAATATTACTGCCACATCTGGTCTAATGCTCTTGCTATATATTTAGAGATTCTTGATAAAATCCAAAGAAGAATCTGCAGTGACCTGGCACTTCTGTTTCAGTCACATTCCCACCGCCATAATGTAGCTTCCCTGTGCTTTTTCTATAAATATTTTCATGGTAATTGTTCTGATGAACTTTCCTCTATGGTAACTAGACTTTATGAATTTAAGTGCAGTACTACATTGGCAACAACGTCTAATCAATTTGCACTTGAAATGGTTAGATATAACCGTAAGTTTTATGCTATCGCACTTCTCGACCGTGGAACTTTCTTCCGGCTTCTTGCTTCCCAGTCAACTTTGATCATCAAAAATTTAAATGCTATGTCAGTCGTTATCTTCCGTTTTCTTAATTCTTGTTCTTTAATTGGTCTCTCTCATTAGTGTTTTTTTCCTCATATTCTCTAACGTTCTTGCGTTTTAGTGGCTTTATTACCCTGATTGGGGTGGAATGATTACAATAAAAGTAATAATAATGGTGGCTCGTATCCCAGTATGCCTTCTCAGACATATTTGTGTTTGTTCCACACCCACAGGGCACACCTGTGGATTTTGTTACAACGATGCTGAGCGGGCCTTAGTTACAGTTTCTTGAAGAGAACGCATTATCTGGCGTGATTAACAGCCTGAACAAGGAAATTAAGCTCAAAGCTTCGGTCACGATGACTTGTGACTTCATGCTAACGCAACCATTGACGGATTTCAAGTAGTTCTGTCAACCCAATATCACTCACAAAGCTTCGATCCTCCCGTGGCATGGTTTCCATGCACTTTCCAAAGGTGCTGCGCGCTAGGATGGCTTCTCGAGGCCGATATCATCAAGAAATCACCTTCCTGGTAAATCGACTAT